TGTTCTATGAGAGTCAAATGCCACATATCCCAATCTTTCATAGAACACCTGTTCTATGAGACTAACTTATCCCCCGCCCTTCATATACAGAATTCCTGTTCTATGAATGTCAAATGCGTCACATCTCCATCCTTCATAGAACACCTGTTCCATGAGACCCAACTATCCGCCACCCTTCTATACAGAATTCCTGTTCTATGAGAGTCAAATGCCGCATATCCCAATCTTCATAGAACACCTGTTCTATGAGAATGTCAACTTATCCCCTTCATAGAACCCTTCAATATACAGAATTCTGTTCTGTTCTATGAATGTCAAATAGAACACCGTCACATCTCCATCCTTCATAGAACACCTGTTCCATGAGACCCAACTATCCGCCACCCCTTCTATACAGAATTCCCTGTTCTATGAGAGTCAAATGCCACATATCCCAATCTTTCATAGAACACCTGTTCTATGAGACTCAACTTATCCCCTGCCCTTCATATACAGAATTCCTGTTCTATGAATGTCAAATGCGTCACATCTCCATCCTTCATAGAACACCTGTTCCATGAGACCCAACTATCCGCCACCCTTCTATACAGAATTCCTGTTCTATGAGAGTCAAATGCCACATATCCCAATCTTTCATAGAACACCTGTTCTATGAGACTCAACTTATCCCCGCCCTTCATATACAGAATTCCTGTTCTATGAATGTCAAATGCGTCACATCTCCATCCTTCATAGAACACCTGTTCCATGAGACCCAACTATCCGCCACCCCTTCTATACAGAATTCCTGTTCTATGAGAGTCAAATGCCAAACATATCCTAATCTTTCATAGAACACCTGTTCTATGAGACTCAACTTATCCCCGCCCTTCATATACAGAATTCCTGTTCTATGAATGTCAAATGCGTCACATCTCCATCCTTCATAGAACACCTGTTCCATGAGACCCAACTATCCGCCACCCCTTCTATACAGAATTCTGTTCTATGAGAGTCAAATGCCACATATCCCAATCTTTCATAGAACACCTGTTCCCCCGCCAGAATTCTATGAGACTCAATGCCCTTCATGAATGTCAAAATGCGTCACATCTCCATCCTTCATAGAACACCTGTTCCATGAGACCCAACTATCCGCCACCCCTTCTATACAGAATTCCTGTTCTATGAGAGTCAAATGCCACATATCAATCTTTCATAGAACACCTGTTCTATGAGACATCCCCTGCCCTTCATATACAGAATTCCTGTTCTATGAATGTCAAATGCGTCACACCTGTTCCCACCTGTTCCATGAGACCCAACTATCCGCCACCCCTTCTATACAGAATTCCTGTTCTATGAGAGTCAAATACCCACATATCCCAATCTTTCATAGAACACCTGTTCTATGAGACTCAACTTATCCCCCGCCCTTCATATACAGAATTCTGTTCTATGAATGTCAAATGCGTCACATCTCCATCCTTCATAGAACACCTGTTCCATGAGACCCAACTATCTGCCACCCCTTCTATACAGAATTCCTGTTCTATGAGAGTCAAAATGCCACATATCCCAATCTTTCATAGAACACCTGTTCTATGAGACTCAACTTATCCCCTGCCCTTCATATACAGAATTCCTGTTCTATGAATGTCAAATGCGTCACATCTCCATCCTTCATAGAACACCTGTTCCATGAGACCCAACTATAGAATCCAACTAATCCCGCCTCAATTCCTGTTCTATGAGAGTCAACCCCTTCTATACAGAATTAGAACACCTGTTCTATGAGAGTTCAAATGCCACATATCCCAATCTTTCATAGAACACCTGTTCTATGAGACTCAACTTATCCCCGCCCTTCATATCATGTTCTATGAATGTCAAATGCGTCACATCTCCATCCTTCATAGAACAGTTCCATTATCCGCCATCCCCCTTCTATACAGAATTCCTGTTCTATGAGAGTCAAATGCCACATATCCCATTCTTTTCATAGAACACCTGTTCTATGAGACTCAACTTATCCCCCGCCCTTCATATGCAGAATTCCTGTTCTATGAGTTTTAAATCCCGCACATTTCCATTCTTCATAGAACACCTGTTCTATGAGACTCAACTTATTTCCCGTCCCTCCCATACAGAATTCCTGTTCTATAAGTGTCAAATGCTGCATATCTCAATCTTTCATAGAACACCTGTAGAACACCAATCTAGTTGAACGCTTAAATTCATATAGTCGGGACACCAGTGAAAATAGCTCGTCAGAGGAGTTTCCATGAAAAAGGAAATACTTTTAAACATTTTATCCCAAGCAAGGCGGAAGTGCAACTGACACACAAGAGATTACAGAGAGTGAAACTAAGTGTAAAGGGGGGGGGCGGAGCGTTTGAGGAAAGGATAAAGAGAAGTATGGGCATCAAGTACAGGGCATCAGAAGATGTCGATCGACATTAAATTTAAATTTTTGAAGATTATAGTTATCAGGGAAGCGACTAAGAGGAAGAGAGTTCTACCGTTAGGAAGTGCGAAATAAGAAGCTGTTGTAGAGGCACAACTTATCTCCCGTGCCTCTTATACAGAATTCCCGTTCTAAGAGTGCCAAATGCTCCACATCTCAATCCTCCGTTACTGATTTTTATAAGCATTTCACCCCAAGCAAGGCGGGAGTGCTACTAGTAAGCAAAGGGTTACAGAAGGTGAAATTAACAGAAAAGACTGGGTAGGGGAGTGAGGAGAGGATAAAAAGAAAGAACAGGGATCAAAGTCATCAGAAGATGTCAATTGACATTATCCCCCGCCCCTCATATACAGAATTCCTCTTCTATGAGTGTTAAATGCCGACCCGAAACGATACCGTGAACCAGTTCATTTAACTGTATCGACATTAAAAGACATGCCAACCTAGTAGCACGCTTAAATTCATGCAGTTGAGGCACGAATGAAAATAGTTCATCAGAGCAGTTACCATTTGTAGAAAAGACAGAGTGAAGCCGTATCACGTCTGTGAGAATGTGGCTGGAGTCGTGATGGAAGGTCACACTATCCATTTAGTTCCATTTCTATGTCTGCTTGATTTCGGATGTCTCCAATATCTAACTGATAACTAGGGCCGTCTCTTTTGTTCAAAATAATACATTCCGCCTTCTTGCAGTTAGTCCTTTCTTCCTGCTGTCTTCGACTATATTGCCTAATAGTTGTTTTAGTTTTCTGAATCTGGTATCTCATCCGGGTATCTTGTATTTCTGTTACTAATTTGCATTGTCTTTATTTTATTTGCACTGAACATTCCTTTTTTCCCTTTTTTTTTTAGTTTCGTGTTTTCCACGCACAAAAAATAAATTTTAAATTTTCTTTTGAAGTGATGGTTTTTGTTTTTGTCTTGCGTTTCCGTGTTAGAAGACTTAATGGTTGGAATTGGTTCTTTATTTAGATTTTGTTGCATTTGAGAATTTTGGGGCTGAGAAATTTGGCGCTTAAATGTTATTTATTTAATTTTTTTTCGTTTGCCTCATTCATTTTTTTTTTATTTTTATTTATTTAATTCCTTTTTTTCAGTATTTCATTTTCTGGATTTTTCTTTGCATTTCACTTTTTTCCATTTATCGCGTTTTTTCTTTCCCTAAAGATTTGAAAAAAAAAAACGAATTAGTTTGCCGCATTTCACTGTCTTTTCTTGCTTTGAGATTTGTTAACATGTCATTAGTATTCTTTCTTTCTTTCTTTCCATCTTTCTTTCTTTCCATCTTTGTTTTACTTAGTTTTCCTATTTATTTTTGCTTTCTTTCTTTCTTTTTGTTAATTTTGCTATTTATTTCTACTTTCTTTCCATCTTTCTTTTCATTACTTTTGCTATTTCTTTCTTTCTTTCTTCCTTTCTTTCTTTCTTTCTTTCTTTCCTTCCATCTTTCTTTCTTTTTTATTACTTTTACTATTTATTTCTGCTGTCTGTCTTTCTTTCTTTCTTTACATCTTTCTTTTTATTACTTTTGCCATTTCTTTCTTTCTTTCTTTCTTTCTTTCTTTCTTTCTTTTTGTTACTTTTACTATTTATTTCTGCTTTCTTTCTTTCTTTACATCTTTCTTTTCATTATTTTTACTATTTCTGTCTTTCTTTCTTTCTTTCTTTTTATTATTTTGCTATTTATTTCTGATTTCTTTCTTCTTCCCCCTATTTTGCTTGTTTCTTTTTTTGTTTGTTTCTTTCTTTCCCTCTCTCTTTTTTCATTGACCATCTTCAACGTTCATTAATAATTGCATTACATTTTTTTATTTATATCTTATCTCTTTATTTCATTACTCTTACTCCACCTCCTGAGAACTTGCTTCTTTCTTTCTTTCTTTCTTTCTTTCTTTCCTTCCATCTTTCTTTCTTTTTTATTACTTTTACTATTTATTTCTGCTGTCTTTCTTTCTTTCTTTACATCTTTCTTTTTATTACTTTTGCCATTTCTTTCTTTCTTTCTTTCTTTCTTTCTTTCTTTCTTTCTTTCTTTCTTTCTTTCTTTCTTTTCACCTCATCTGCACTGAAGTTCTTCAAGTCTGCTCAATAAGTTTGGCTCCGAATCAAAAACTGTTCTTTTGTCTCCTCAGTCTCAAATTCAAACTGCATCTCCGTAGCTGTGGCTGTGATACGCTTAAGCAATCTTGTCTCTTTTCGAGTTACGATTGATTAAGAACATATGCTTAAATGAATATAACAAACGTGACTGCAATTCGAACTCGGTTCTCCAATTTCTCACCCTACCTGTTGCCCATTACACCACATTAGGCAGATCACATCCCAACTTGCAGTACCTTGTATCCGCAAGCGGTCACCCATCTAAATCCTGACCAGGCTCGGCGACGGTTAACTTCGGCAATAGGAGGAGGAGGACGGGCATTTTAACGTGATATCGTCGTAAGCTATCCTTTAATGAAATTTACTAAACTGACATAAAGAGGATGTGACACGTACATGTCGGGAAATTGACCTCAGCGAATGCATCGGTCAACATGGCGCACAGGACAACGGGCTATGACAGGGAATCAGCTTTGATGGAGAGGTAAACTGACAGGCAGATGTCATGTGGCGTCATCCCAGACGACACAACGTCACGACGAAACATTATTGCCAAATGACTTGTCCGAACCGTGGTCCGGATGGACGTTAATTTGTCTGACTATAATTGTATAATTCCTAATTAAGGTGAAAAAAAAAAAAAATTTTAAGAAAAACATTCCATTTTTTAAGTTCTGGAAAAAAAGTTACACATGCCAAGATTAACGAAAACGAGGTTAGCATTCGTTGTAGTAGGAGGCGGAGAAGATGACAAAAAAGGAAGAGGATGAGGAGAGACGTAAGGAAAGATGAAAAAGAGGATGGTGAGGTTAAAAGGAGGAGCAAGGAAAGTGAAAAGAAGGCGAGGATAAAAAGTTGAAGGATGAGGTTAAAAAGTGAAGAGGAGTGAAAAAGCCAAGAGAGGCTAAAAAGAAAGAATGAACGGATAAATAGGAGGAGGTAGTGTGAAAAGAAGTCAAGATAAGAAGTTGAAGGATGAGGTTAAAATGTGAAGAGGGTGCAAGATTCCAAACGAGAATAAAAAGGAAGAATGGGAAGATAAAAAGGAGGAAGGGGAAGTGAAAAAAGGGGAGGATAAGAAGTTGAAGTATAAGGTTAAAATATGAAGGGGAGTGTAAAAAGCCAAGAGAGTATAAAAAGGGAGAACGAACGGATACATAGGAGGAGGTAGTATGAAAAAAAAGAAGGGTGAGGTTAAAAAGTGAAGGGGGTGCAAAATGCCAAAGGAGGATAAAAAGGAAGAATGGAGGGGGATAAAAAGGAGGAAGGGGCAGTGAAAAGAAAAGCAGGATAAGAAGTTGAAGGAAGAGGTTAAAAAGTGAAGAAGGTACAAAACGCCAAGTGAGGGGGAGTTAAGGATTGATTTGTCTTTTACGGCTTAACAACCTTTTGCAGGTTATCCAAAGCCAGAAAACATTTTTAGATTGTAAAAATCTTTTAGAGATAATAATTATTTATGATACAAGCCCTACTAATTAACTCAAATCTGGAGGAGAAGAGCTAGATTAATACATTTCTCAAGGGTAAATGAATATAACGAACCCGACTGAAATTGGAACTTGCCTCTCAGATTTCTAATTCCTAGCCAGTATCCTATACATCAAACGCACATCGAAGCTTGCAGCACCTTGTATTTTTAAGCCATCAACCAATTAGATACTGACCAGTATCGACGTTAACATTGGCGATCGTATGGGAACCTGTGTATCAACGTGCTATGGCCGTATTAGTGAATGATTATTATCTCCAAAAATGTTTTGCAATACAAACATATTTTCTGGTTTTAAATAACCTGTAAAGGTCTGATAAACCATAAAAATGTATCAATCTTTGTTTTTTTTAAGGATATTTTCGTGTTTCTTCATACTTTGTTTAGCTTTTGAAAGGCATTTTCGGTATTCCAAAGCACCTTCGGATTTCGGTGTCATATTTTCCGTCGTCTGTATGAACACTTCCCATTTAATGATTATTTACTAGGCGAATGCTTTTATTATTATTGACTGTTTTTATTTTTATTTTTTTTTGTGGTCCATCTCCCATTTTAATCTGACACCTCAAGAAACTTCAAGTCAACAGATCATGTTGGTACAATTGATTGGATATGTAGATGTCTTGATATGAAGCCATCTCCCCCGACAAATATAGCAAATTTTAAAGAATATATGACGCGTTCGGCCAAGGTCGGGCGTATTCAACAAAAATAGAAAATTGCTTTTTTCACTGCAAATTATTCCTAAATGGAAGTGTTCTGGAAATTTTTAATGTGAACTAAGCGTGGGTTGTAAACTGCAAATTAACCAGTTTTTATTAATTATAAGCCGCCAAAAAAAGCATGGGCAAAGTACAAGAATAATATGGATATTCATTCTCCATTGTGATTGGCTGTGTCCTCAATTAAACCATGACTGGAAAAACTGACAAAGAAGCAGGCCCACATTTGACTCTAGTAAAGATTAAGATTATATAATATTTGTTTTTGTGTCAATAAACTACTTATTTTTTGCTATTACTTTTTATATGTTTCGTTATTGAATTTTATTTGACAAAATAAATGAAAGATAAAATATAGTCAACATTTATATATATATATATATACATATATATAACATCATCCAGAGACAGACTGTTTCGCTGTTTACAGCTCATCAGTGTGGCTAGACATCCGGTTGCCTCTAGCTAGGATCGAAACCCGACTGAATTGGTATCAGTCGGAGCTTCTAACCACGGTAGGAATGAAGGTGGATTTTAGCATATTTATTTTTTAGAAACATGCCCAGTGACTGACAGTGACTCAAATTAAATATATATATATATATATATATATATATATATATATATATATATATATATATATATATATATATATATATATATATATATATATATATATATATATATATATAATTTAATTTATTGCCAAGAAATATTACGGATACGTGACACATTAAGAAAAGAAAATGCCGGTTCGCAATTATTTGGTAGTTTCACAAGCACTGAGGTAGAGGAATATATTATTCCAATACCGTATTTCAAAAATCTATCTATCTATCTATCTATCTATATATATATATATATATATATATATATATATATATATATATATATATATATATATATCAGTCTGTTCCTATCTATCTATATCATATGTTCCTATCTATCTATCTATCTATCTATCTATCTATCTATCTATCTATCTATCTATCTATCTCAATCTGTTTCTCTCTCTCTCTCTCCCTCTATCTATCTATCTATCTCTGTATGTTCATATCTATCTATCTATCTATCTATCTATCTATCTATCTATCTTTCTGTGTTTGTGTGCATAAATGTTTCAAATGTGCTACATTTATAGCAGCAAGTTCTCCAATATCAAAGAGAGAGGGCATTTCTAGATATATGAAATCACATTCTAAGGAAGTGCTTCTCAAAGTGGTGGTCCGCGGGCCGGTGCCGGTACGCGAACCGATGCGCGAACCGGTGCCGGTACGCGGACCATCAGCTACCGGTACGCGGTCAGTGTCCAGGCCATGCTAATGAACCATTTGTAAAGATAAAGTTTATATAATTTTTGTTTTTGTGTTAATAAACTGCTTATTTCTTTATTACTTTTTATATGTTTTGATATTGAATTATTTTTTTTGCAAAATAAATAGAAGATAAACAATAGCCAACTTTTATTATATTCGTTATATATATATATCGTTTCCGATATATTAGGTTGGTGCAAAATAATGACGTAATAATATCGTTCTTTGACGTTAAAAATACGTCAAAAACGACATTATTACGTCATTATTTTTGCACCAACCTAATAAATTAATATTACCACGAAATATTACAGGTACTTGACACATTGAGAAAAAAATGCCGGTTCGCCATATCAGATAGTTTTAGAAGTACTGATTTAGGCCATTCTTATTTAGAATCCTGTGCGCTACACAATCTTCTTTGCCTCTAAACTCTGAAAATGTGCAGAGAGACATCCACGATTACGTACATCCAGACAGAGGGAGAATAAAATTTAAGTAAGTAGGTAGGAAAAAGAGTGGCGTAAAAGAGAAAGGAATAAAAGAAAGAAAGAAAGAAAGAAAGAGAGAAAGAGAGAGAGAGAGAGAGAAGGAGAAAGAGATATAATATGTGTGAAAGAGAAAAAAGAAAGAGAGAGAACTAATGATTGAGGGTGGTGAAAACTGCCACGTGAAGATACCCCTAATACGGAAAGGTTGAAATTTTATCTAGCAGTGACGGAAGTATGGTCGTTCGTCAAACTGATCCAAAGTGTCGAAATATTTAGTTTCTCTCCTCGAAGACAAGTGGAGAGATGATGGTACACTTGACTCCGGTGATGTCGGATTTGCTTGGTCAAGTAGGCAACAGTAATCGGCAAATTAATTCCGCAAGGAAGACGACCGCACCCCGAAGCAGCTCGAATTCTTGAACATCGACAGAAATAAAAGTCGGCCGGATTTGAAACAAACAGTTTTGGCCTTTGGCAATTGGCTTCGGGATGTCGTTGACGTTGTGGGAATGCTTGCATACGGATCTATTTCTGTAAACTTTCTTTGCTTAAAAGACAATAGCGTCGTCTTCAAGTATTTCGCCACATACAGACTTTTCCCCTTGTCTTCTCTACAACTTCGTTCAGGCCATTTGTATCGCTTCATATATCTACCAAATTCATTCAATTTTGTTACAGCTGGCAGAAACAGTGTGTCGCCTCCGTTTTAAGAACTCATCCCTTAATATTAGAGTTACTGCTTTTGATATGCTTCTTGTTTTGTGCCATGTTTCTTAAAGACCTGAATGGTCAAGACATATGTGATATTTTTACTGTCATTTATTTAGATGAACTTCTCAGGTATGGTAATCGGTGTCTCTCTGCTTATCTTGCCATCAGTATGTCCTGCGTGTATCAGATTCTCCAAGCCCTCTTTCCTCCTTAGTATGGTTAGCAGAAATTTAATTTTTTTCTGTTTGGTTCTAGACATAAATGCCATTTTCGTTTCCACTTTCGTTAAAACTTACTCGTTTCTCTCATGCCCCGTCCATGGTAGTCTCAGTATCCTTCTGTAGAACCATTTATTCGATGTCTCTTAATACTTTGTTTACATTTTTATACATTGGCTTTTTAGGGCATTTTTCATTTTTTCAATATGACTTCAGATTTTTCTGTCACATTTTTCGTCCTCTGTAAAATGCTTCCCATTTACAGATTCCACTAATGCTTTTATTATTATTATTATTATTATTGTTATTATTATTATTATTATTATTATTATTATTATTATTTCCTTTGATTTCTGGTGTGTACATATTTCTTTCCGGGTCCCGCCCAGAGACCTAGGTGATAAATGACATCATGACATTTTACATTGAGCCAAAAAAAAAAAGGACAATGACAGACATATTTTACATAGATAAAGCCCTTCGTAAGGTGTGGTCTATACGTATGAGAACAATGTTTTTGTCTTTCTTTAAGGCATCGGATTCCAGAAATTCCTTCAATTAGTCTACTGGAATCTTTTCCAACCAATCCGAGGGCTACAACTACAACAGGAATTGTTGATGTTCCCATGTGCGACATTTTTGAGATTTCGATTTCAAGGTCCTTTTGTATTTTGATAGCTTTTTGAAGATCTTCAAAGATACATTGCAGTCCGCAGAGCCTGAAATATCAATAAAGAGGCACTTTTTTGTTTTGTTTTGCGGTCTCTAATAACAATGGGCTGTTAGCTTTGATTGTTCTGTTTGTGTTGTTGTTGTTATTATTATTATTATTTGTTATGTTATGTTTCCAGGTTTTCATCCTGTAGAGCCGAGTCCAAAGTCTGGTTCTTAGGCCCTATAGAATTTTTCCTGTAATTGATAGCACTTTTCTTAGTATATGGGATTTTCTTAGTAGGGCTATCTTCTGTGCAACTTGTATGTTGATGTAACCTGGGACACTGTTAGTAAAATTGACCATACATTTTCTCACGAGGCACGGTGCTCCGATTACTATTGTCTTAGTCTTCATTCCCCACATCCTGTTAATCTCGATCTCCAGGTCCTTGTATTTGGAAAATTTCTCGATAATTCTCATGTAAGTGTTTCTCTCAGATGGTACTGCTATGTCAATAAGCAAACACTTCCTGAATTTCTTGTCTTTTATGATAATAT